TTGGCTAATTTCCTCTTGCAAGCTATACACACTTTTTTTTTTCTTAATTGAATCATTCAATTTTTCATACTGATTTGTAGAATTCTTTGTATATTGGGAAAATTAACTTTTTCTGTTATATAGGTTACAAATATTTTCTTCCAGTTTATCTTTTCACTTTGTGTATGGGGTCTTTTGCCATCATCAAATCTGTCATGGCTTCTGCATTTGGTGTTATGATTAGACAAGTTCTTTCCATCCCATAATTCAGAAAATATTCTTCTATATTCTCTTTTAATATTTTAGTATAACTTTTTGTGTTTGTGTATTCATCTGTTGGAATGGAAAATTATCTATCTCATGGTCATCAGGATAATTGAATCTTTATATGATGGTCATCACATCATTCTTAGAATTGAGAGAAGCCTCAGAGGTTACCCAGAGATCTGAGTCCTTTGTTTTAACTGTGAGTTTCTGGGGAAGGGCAAAAGGTTTCAATCTGACCTTTAAGGTTCTAAGGATTCATCCTAACTTTTCTCTTGATTTTTCCAGGAGAAAAGATGTCTTTGCCAAGGATGCCAGTGACTTTTCTTATAGACTTAAAACTGTTAAACCCAAGCCAAGCCTCTTCCTTCTTGGTTTCTCCAAACTTATCTCCTTCTGCTCTTCTATATATACCCTTTGCTCTACTTACTGATCCTGAACATTCCTGGAAATTTCTTGCATCCATGCCTTTGCCCAGACTACTTTGGGCACCCTTCATTCTATCTGGCCTTTAAGGTCTAACTTAAATCTTTGATTTTCCATGAAGTCTCCCAATTTCTCAAGTGTACCTCTCCTCTCTACTCCTCAGGCATGGATTGTGCTACTTAGGGGACTCAGTTTATTTTATTTTATTTTTTGAGACAGAGTGTCGCTCTGTTGCCCAGGCTGGAGTGCAGTGGCGTGATCTCTGCTCACCGCAACCTCCACCTCCCGGGTTCAAGCGATTCTCCTGCCGCAGCCTCCCAAGTAGCTGGGACTACAGGTGTGTGCTACCACGCCTGGCTAATTTTTTGTATTTTTAGTAGAGACAGGGGTTTCACCGTGTTAGCCAAGGATGGTCTCGATCTCCTGACCTCGTGATCTGCCCGCCTCAGCCTCCCAAAGTGCTAGGATTACAGGCTTGATCCACCACGCCCGGCCGGACTCGGTTTATTTTCTGTCAGGTGCCATAATTATCTGGACACCTATCTGCTTCCCTCATTGGGCTACCTTGGGAGCATCTTTGCAGACTTGTAGTACCTGGCACATGGTGGGACTTAGTCAGTACTGGATGGCTAAATGAATGAAATATTGTAGAGGTGGTCGTCTGTTTTTTCTGTCTCTGTTCTTAGACATTGCAAATGCCTGGTGTATAAAGGGAGGGAGAAAGAAGATGGAAAGAGGAAGGGTGCAGGTTGGTGCCCCTTTTTTTCCTGTATTGCTGTTAACAGGCCAGCAAGTATGCTGGCCACTGTCTACGTGCACTGAGAGGGAAAGACATAGGGTAGGGGAAACAGAGGATTGGCATCCTATTCAGCCTCTTCTGGCCCCAGGTGAGTCAACACTGGGATTCACACCTAGAAACTGACAAGTATTAATCACTCCTAGGAAGGTGAAGAGGTATTTGTTTTTCTAGGGAAATGCCCCCACTTCCTTTCCATTTCTTTCTTTCTTTTCTTTTCTTTTTTTTTGAGATGGAGTTTTGCTCTTGTTGCCCAGGCTGGAGTGCAATGGTGTGATCTCGGCTCACCGCAACCTCTGCCTCCAGGTTCAAGCAATTCTCCTGCCTCAGCCTCCCAAGTAGCAGGGATTACAGGCATGCGCCACCACGACCTGCTAAGTTTTTTGTATTTTTAGTAGAGACGGAATTTCCCCATATTGGCCAGGCTGGTCTTGTGGACTCTTGACCTTGTGATCTACCCACGTTGGCTTCCCAAAGTGCTGGGATTACAGGCATGAGCCATTGTGCCCACCCTCGACCATGTATATTTTCCATATCCTTTTCCTTGCTTTATACTTCTTAGGACGTCCTCATAATCTATTATCTTCCTCTAGAATGTAAGCTCTATGACAGCCCAGATTTTTTTTGTTTTGAGACGGAGTCTCGCTCTGTTGCCCAGGCTGGAGTGCAGTGGCACAATCTCAGCTCACTGCAACCTCCACCTCCCGGGTTCAAACAATTCTCCTGCCTCAGCCTCCCGAGTAGCTGAGATTACAGGCACCTGCCACCACACACCACACCAGCTAATGTTTGTATTCTTAGTAAACACAGGTTTTCACTATGTTGGCCAGGCTGGTCTTGAACTCCTGACCTCAGGTGATCCACCTGCCTCGGCCTCCCAAAGTGCTGGGATTACAGGAGTGAGTCACCGTGCCCGGCCTACATGGGTCTGTTTTGTATACTGCTATATCCCCAGTGCTTAGGACAGTGCCTGGTATACTCAATAATATTTGTTAAGTAAATGAATGAAAAGTCTATTTATTCAAGGAGTACCAATACACTACATATGTATACTTCTTACCTCTTTCCTGATTTCCAAGCCCACATTCCCTCTTTAAAATTTTGCCATCATCTTAATCTCAGCTTGCCTAGCTGAATTCATTATTATCTCTCTTAGCATTATTATCTCTCTTAGCACAGTAAACCTTAAGTCTTGTTTCTTCTAATGACAGACCCCAAACATGACTTATTCTTTTTCACTGTTTTTCCTCCTATATAGTAGGTCTCTAAATCTAGTTGAGTCTATCTCCTAAAACTTGCTCCAGACTCCATCATCCCCTGCTTCTGCTTTAGTTCAGGTATGAATCTTTTACTTGATGCAGAAATCTACCATGCAGTCTTCAATCTATTTTATTCATTGCTACCATTTTGATTCTCATGCTGAAGAGCTTTGCTCAGCTCACTGCTCTCTCAACAAACACGTGGCTGCCATTTACCTGTTGAACTAAGTAGGCAAAGAATCCGGAATTGGTGACTTACTGTTCTCTGCTCACTTTGACCCCCCTTTCTGAAATGCACACCTTTTCACTGTGAGTTAAAACTGCTGTATCCTTCAGAGTACAAACATTATCTTCTCTCTACTTAAGTTCCGAAGAAAAAATAGGGCTAGAGAAGTAGACATGGTAGTGTATACACACTTTATGCATCCAGAAAGTATAGAAATGTAAATCTTTCTTAGCCAGAAGTAAATTTTATTCAAAACAATAAATGGACCTGTTATACCATTATCTCTCTCTCTCTTTTTTTTTTTTTAATTTTTTGAGAAAGAGTCTTGCTTTGTCACCTAGGCTGGAGTGCAGTGGTACAATCATATTCACTGCAGCCTTGAACTCCTGAAATCCAGTGATCCTCTTGCTGGTGTCTCCTGAGTTAGGGAGCACTATAGGTGAGCAGCACCACCTAGGGCTAATTAAATTTTTTTTTTTTTTTTTTTTTTTTTTGTAGAGACGAGGCCTCCCTATGTTGCCCAGGCTGGTCTCGAACTTCTAGCCTCAAGCAATTCTCCTATCTTGGTCTCCCAACCTGCTGGGATTACAGGCCTGAGCCATCACACCCATCCTACTCTGACTTTTAGTAGAGTTAACTTTTTTTTTTGAGACGGAGTCTCACTCTGTCATCCAGGCTAGAGTGCAAGGGAGTGATCTCAGCTCACTGCAACCTCCGCCTCCCGGGTTCAAGCCATTCTCCTGCCTCAGCCTGCTGAGTAGCTGGGATTACAGGCACCCGCCACCAGGCCCGGCTAATTTTTTTTGTATTTTTGTAGAGACGGGGTTTCACTATGTTGGCCAGGCTGGTCTCGAACTCTTGACCTCGTGATCCACCTGCCTCGGCCTCCCAAAGTGCTGGATTACAGGCATGAGCCACCATATCCGACATTATTTTTTTTTAAATTTAAATTTTTTTTTTTTGAGACTGTCTTGCTCTGTTGCCCAGGCTAGAGTGCAGTGGCATGACCATTGCTCACAGCTGCCTTAACCTCCCAGGCTGAGGCCATTTTCTCACCTCAGCCTCCTAACTAGCTGGGACCACAGATGTGTGCAACCATGTCTGGATAATTTTTTACAATTTTAATTATTTTATTTTTAGACAGGGTCTCACTTTGCAGAGCCTAATAGCTGGCACTACAGTTGTGCACCACCATGCCCAACTTTTTTTTTTTGTTAGAGATGACGATTTACCACGTTGCCCAGGATGGTCTCAAACTCCTGAGCTCAAGCAATCTGACCATCTTGGCCTCCCAAAGTGCTGAGATTACAGGCGAGAGCCATCGTGCCTAGTCGTTTTATTTTATTTTATTGAGACAAGATCTTGCTCTGTCACCCATGTTTGGAGTACACTGGCACAATCCTGGCTCACTGTAGCCTCGACCTCTCAGGCTCAAGTGATCTCCTATCTCAGCCTCCTGAATAGTTGGAACCACAGGCACGTGCCACCATGCCCAGATAATTTTTTGAGTTTTTGTAGAGACAAGGTCTCACTATGTTGCCCAGCCTCACCTAATTTTTACCAAACTTTTTGTAGAGACGGGGGTCTCATTATGTTGCTTAGATTGATCTTGAACTCCTGGACTCAAGATTCATCATATTCAATTAATAATTCTCTATCTCCTAATTCCAGCAGACATAGAAAGACACAGAAGGCCAGCGCCATGGCTCACTCCTATAATCCCAGCAATTTAGGAGACTGCGAGGCTTGAGCCCAGAAGTTTACGATCAGCCTGGGTAACATGATGAGACCCCATCTCTCCATATATATACAATAATAAAAATTATCCAGGCATGGTGGCATGCATCTGTAGTCCAAGCTACTCAGAAGGCTGCGGTGGGAGGATCACTTGAGCCCGATAGGTGGAGGATGCAGTGCGCCAATATCGCGCCACTGCACTCCAGCCTAGGCGACAGAGCGAGACCCTGTCTCAAAAAACCAAAAAACACCACGAACAGAAACAACAACAACAACCCCCACAGAAGGTAGTGAAGGCTTGGGATTGGATTACCTGGTTTAAACCCATAGAATGTCAGAATTGAAGGAAGAGTCAGAGGTCAACTTTCTTTTTTTTTCTTTTGATACAGAGTCGCGCTCCGTTGCCCTCCTGGAGTGCAGTGGCGCGATCACAGCTACCGCAGCCTCGACGTCCCAGGCTCAAGCGATCCTCCTGCCTTGGCCTCTCAAAGTGCTGGAATTACAGGCGTGAGCCACTGCGCGCGGCCTAGAGGTCACCTTTCAACTTAGTCCTCAATACATGGGAAAAGTGAGGCCCAGAAGGCGTATGAGTTGTATCAGGTCGCTGACCCTGAACAGAAGCTAGACGTCTTAATTCCCAAGTAGGACTCGCTGCTAACTCTTTGGGCATCCCTTCGTGATTCAAGGCTCTTGGGTTTCCCGCTTTGGCCGCCTCGCCAAATCCAAGTCTTACACTCTTAGTGACCCCCTCCTTTCCTCCTTCCCCTTAGGTCAGCAAGGTTTACTCATTCTAATTGCAACGCTCCAGGTTGCCGGAGTAGCTCCTCGCTAGAAGGGAGATTAGTTACGTCACCGTCGGCTCCTCCCATTGGTCCGGGCGTGTGGAACGCGGCGCCATGACGTCAGACGCCCAAAGGGGTGGGGCGGTGAGGGGAAGGAGGAGGGAAGTAGGACTTCAACATGGCGGCTGCGGCACTGGCGGTGGCTACGGTGACGGTCTGGCCCGGAGCGGGCAGAGTTGGAGGTGGTGGCGTTCGCTCTCCCTAGGGGCCGTCGGGAGCTCAGCGGGGACCGAGCCTCGGAGGCCGGCCGGTGCCAGCACCTTTCGGCTTCTGGGAAGGCGGCAGCAGCGGCATTCAGGTGAGAGGGGCCTCCCTCTGGGGGAAGGGGAAGAGGGGCGGAGTTGGGGGAGGGGGGCCGGTTCTGGGAGACTAGGAAACGGGCTGGGGGGCCGAGCGAGGTGAAAGGCGCCGGAGCTAGGAGGTGGGAGGGAAAAGTGGCCGGAGATCCGCGATTTGGGGAGGATTCTGGGAGAAGGGTCGGAGTGAGGGGACCGGAGTTGAAGGGGCGGAGGGTAAACGGGATGCGGGAAAATGAGTTCGGATTAAGGAGACTAATACCCTACTGGAAGACAGGCATAGTAGACTTATGTCGGGCTGGATTGAGAGCTCGGTGGGAACTAGAGGATGTCAGGGAGGGGGACCCAGGTTTTAGTAAAGAAGGTGAGTGGTGGGGAGTTTAGGGTGAGCTGGGGACGTGCGGTGTAGATTTAGTTCTCCCTGAGGCAGTGAGATTGGGGGGAAAGGGTGGAGACTAGACCAGAGTTGAGTGATTTTTGGGGATATCTTTGGCTTTGTCTGGTTTTCTCCAGGTATGTTTATCCGCCTTTTTTGTTTCTTGGGTGGAGGCTTACCTATACAGTCCACCTGGGCCTCAGGAACCGCCCCAGTCTTTCTTGTGGAACGTCAGGTTCATTTATTTGAGCTGTATCAGTGATCTTTGACCTTTGTTGCCAAATGCGTTTCCAGACTAGCGTGTTAAAAGTGTGGTTGAGCATAAAAATACGTTTTATGTTAAACTGAAATAAAATATTGATACTTTTTTGTCACCATACAGTGTTGCGAAACCAGATTTAGTAATTTGGTTAAGTATTACATATATTCTATTCTAACTTTACTCTTTAGTGCTTTGTCTTTTCAGTTATTAGCATTTCAGAATTTGATTAGATATGGTGGATGTTTTCCTTTTTAATTTTGTCAGATTTGATGGTGGGGAAAAAGAAGATACTTAGTCTTTAGTGATAGTTCTTTCTAGTTAATGTCCCAACCTAGTTAAACTAAAAGTTTCCGTATTGGCCGGGCGCTGTGGCTCACGCCTGAAATCCCAGCACTGTGGGAGGCCTAGGCGGGCGGATCACGAGGTCAGGAGTTCAAGACCAGCCTGACCAACATGATGAAACTCCGTCTCTCCTAAAAATACAAACAGCCAGCCGGGTGTGGTGGCAGGCACCTGTAATCCCAGCTACTCTGGTGGCCGAGGCAGGAGAATGGCTTGAACCTGGGAGGTGGAGGTTGCAGTGAGCGGAGATCGAGTCATTTGCACTCCAGCCGGGACGACAACGTGAGACTCCGACTAAAAAAAAAAATTTCGTATTATGGCAAAGAATGTGAAATGTCTCAAGTCTTAAAATAATTACATTGTCCGCATTAACTTACTATAAGTGATATTTTATTAAATTTTTGTTTCTAGTTTGTTCTATTCATTGTGTTTATTGAATACTGTGTGTTGCATTAATAACAATCATTATTATTATGGAGATGTGAAACTTAATGTTTCTTTCTTTCTTTTTTTTTTGAAACGGAGTCTCGCTCTGTCGCCCATTTGGGAGTGCAGTGGCTGGATCTCAGCTCACTGCAAGCTCCGCCTCCCGGGTTTACGCCATTCTCCTGCCTCAGCCTCCCGAGTAGCTGGGACTACAGGCGCCCGCCACCTCGCCCGGCTAGTTTTTTGTATTTTTTAGTAGAGACGGGGTTTCACCGTGTTAGCCAGGATGGTCTCGATCTCCTGACCTCGTGATCCGCCCGTCTTGGCTTCCCAAAGTGCTGGGATTACAGGCTTGAGCCACCGCGCCCGGCCGAAACTTAGTATTTCTTTAGTCAGTGACCATCGCTGTCATTGCACAGCAGTTAACTTTGCTAACCTGCTGGGACCTCATTGGAAAAAAAAACTTCTTTTTTGTTTGTTTCTTTTTATTTTTTTCCTGAGGGAGTCTCGGTCTGTTGCCCAGGCTGGAGTGCAGTGGCGCGATCTTGGCTCACTGCAACCTCTGCCTCCTGGGTTCAAGTGACTGTCTTGCTTCAGCCTCCTGAGTAGCTGAGCTTATAGACACTTGTCACTATGGCTGGCTAATTTTTGTATTTTAGTAGAGATGGGGTTTCACCATGTTGGTCAGGCTGGTGTCGAACTTCTGACCTCAAATGAACCTCCGGCCTTGGCCTCCCAAAGTGCTGGGATTACAGGCGCCTGGCCTGTGTGTTTTTTTTGTTTGTTTGTTTTTTTTAAAGAAGGCAAAGGAAAAAAAATTAAACTCTGTAAATATAAAAACTTCTTCAATTTCTCTTTCGTTTAGTGTTTAAAGACTGATTTCCTAATCATGGCATTTCTTCTGTGTATCTGAAAGATTTTTTCACTTTGATTTTGAAGAAAACTAACAGTATTCTGAAAAGATAACAATAGATCTGTAGACAAGTTTCATCAATGATTGTTAGTGTATTTTTTAATGAAAAATTTTTTTTTGTAGAGTTGGGGTCTCTTTATGTTGCCCAGTCTAATTTTGAACTCCTGAGCTCAAATGATCCTCCCACCGCAGCCTCCCAAACTGCTGGAAGGCGTGAGCTGCTAGTGCATGTATTTTTGACTGGCAAATGTCACATTATCTTGCATATCTTTTAACTATGGTATTTAAGGATCCTTGATGTTTGTTTATTTATTTATTTGTTTTTTGAGACCGAGCCTTGCACTGTTGCCCAGGCTGGAGTGCTGTGGCGTGATCTCAGCTCACTGCAACCTCTATTTTCCAGGTTCAAGCGATTCTCCTGCCTCTGCCTCCCAAGTAGCTGGGATTACAGGCAGCCACCACCATGCCTAGCTAATTTTTATAGTTTTAGTAGCGATGGGGTTTCACAACGTTGCCCAGGCTGGTCTCACACTCCTGACCTCAAATGACCTACCCTCTTTGACCTCCCAAAGTGCTGTGATTACAGGTGTGAGCCACCGCGCCCAGCTGGATCCCTGATGTTTAATTCAGTGACCAAAATTTTTACCGAATATTTTCAGCATTATAATTGAAATATCATTAGCCCTGAGTGTAAATGCCAATATTACAAGTTTTTCCTGTTCTTTAATTATATTATTGAATGTATTGAGAGTTTTCAAATGTAGATTAAGAGTAATCTTTTTTCTTACAGATTCATTAAAAATATTTATTAATCATCAATCAGGTGATTTTTTTTTAGACAGTCTTTCTCAAGAAATGCAAAAGGTAATACAGAGTGCCTTAAAACATTAAATAAACTTTTTTTCTAACAATTAAAAAAAAAAAAACCTCAAACTGAAAAGAAGCTTAGAAATCACCTGGGTTTAGTTTCCCACACAGAATGGGAATCCCTGCTTCTATACCAAAACAAATGAAAATCCATCCTCTTTTCCAGATTTCTAAGGAAATAATAGGATTTTTCAGAATTTATTTTTTCTGTTTTGAAACGGAGCTTCTTCGCTCTTGTTGTCCAGGTTGGAGTGCAATGGCGCCATCTGAGCTCACTGCAACTGCCACCTCCCAAGTTTAAGTGATTCTCCTGCCCCAGCCTCCTGAGTAGCTAGAATTACAGGCATGTGCCACCACGCGTGGCTGATTTTGTGTTTTTAGTAGAGACAGGGTTTCTCCATGTTGGTCAGGCTGGTCTTGGACTCCCCAACTCAGGTGATCCACCCGCTTCAGCCTCCCAGAGTGCTGGGATTACAGGCATGAGATACTGCTCCCGGCCCAGAATTTCTTATAGGAAAAGTATGTTCAATTAGAAAAAAGAAGCAAGCAGAGTAGTGCTCTTCCAACATGTAACATACAGTGTCCTGTAACATTAGAAAATAACTTGAAGGTAATAGTAATATTTTCCTATGAATTGAGAGTAACAATTTCAGGTTTTAGAAATTTTAGTTGAAAGTAGCAAGATTCACAGAGGAAAGGATGCTGACACTAGGTATATACTAATGAGCCAGGATTGTTAAACACTTTTTTTCCTTTTTTTTTTTTTTAGACAGAGTCTCGCTCTGTCGGCAGGCTGGAGTGCAGTGGCACAGTCTCGGCTCACTGCAACCTCCACCTCCTGGGATCAAGCGGTTCTCCTGCCTCAGCCTCCCAAGTAGCTGGGACTACAGACGGTGCGCTACCGCGTCCGGCTGATTTTTTTAGTAGAGACAGGGTTTTGCCATGTTAGCCAGAATGGTCTTGATCTCTTGACCTCGTGATCCACCTGCCTCGGCCTCCCAAAGTGCTGGGAATATAGGCGTGAGCCACTGCGCCCAGCCAATCCTTTTTTTTGAGATGAAGTCTCACTCTTATCCCCCAGGTTGGAGTGCAATGGTGCGATCTCGGCTCACTGCAACCTCCACCTTCCGAGTTCAAGTGATTCTCCTGCATCAGCCTCCCTAGTAGCTGGGATTACAGGTGCCTGACACCATGTCTGGCTAATTTTTGTATTTTTAGTAGAGATGGGGTTTCACCATGTTGGCCAGGCTGGTCTCGAACTCCTGACCTCAGGTGATCTGCCCACCTCGGCCTCCCAAAGTGCTGGGATTACAGGCTTGAGCCACCACACCCGACCCTGTTAAATACTTGGCCAGGTGCAGTGGCTCATGCCTGTGGTCCCAGCACTTTGGAAATGCCAGGCGGGCGGATTGCTTGAGCCCAGAAGTTCAGGACCAGCCTGGACAACACAGTGAGACCCATCTCTACAAAAATTACAGAAAAATTAGCTGGGGTTGGTGGTTCATGCCTATAGTCCCAGCTACACGGGTGGTTGAGGTGGGCGGATCACCTGAGCTCAGGAGCTTGAGGCTGCAGTGAGCCAAGATCATGCCCCTGCACTCCAGCCTGGGCAACAGAGCAAAACCCTACCTCAAAAGAAATAATCTTGGCCGGGCACTGTGAGTCATCCCTGTCATCCTGGCACTTCGGGAGGCCCAGGCGGTTGGATCACCTGAGGTCAGGATTTCGAGACCAGCCTGGCTAACATGGTGAAACCCCGTCTCTACTAAAAATACAAAATTCGGCCGGGCGCGGTGGCTCACGCCTGTAATCCCAG